TCTTCCTCACCCCTCTGCCCATTCATCACCAAAGTGCCAGTCTGTGAGCTGCTTGCCAGCTACGTTTTTTCCCTGTTCAGTTTAAAACAAATTGGGAAACAGACATTCTTGGCAGGAAGAAAACTGGTACATGAGGACACTTGGGGCAGGAGAAGCACACGTCAATTAAAAAAATGGGATTTTTTTCTTACTCAGGCATGAATTCCCTCTCAAAGTTATGAGAATTTTTTCTCACATTCACTGGCTTTTGAAATTTCTCTGAAGACCTTGTGCTTCTGTCATCAGAGACCTGAAAAACCTCACTGGAGGCTTTGCATGTGCTTCCTGTCAGGCAGAGCAAGCACCCACAATGATGAGGCGTTGCTTCCTCCCCAGCCCAGCATTGCCCTGCTCTCTGTTCTGAGGAACCCCTGCACCAGGAATTGAGCCTGGTGTCTGAACTGCACCTAGAGCATGGACACTGCTCCCTTGGCATGGGAAAACTACAGAGGTCATTTACCTTTACTTCTGTCAAGCACAGCTGGAAATGGAAAATTTTAATTGAAAAAGCAGCTGCAAAGGCTGTTTGCAGACCAGACAAGTGATATTACGAAGCCCTTATACATTGCATATGTGCACCACCAACTTCCTGCAGCAGCAAGAAGTGTTTGATGAGGAAGACACAGTAGCACAGTACAAAACTCTCACCAAAATTCTTTTTCTGGTACATTTCAGACTAATCCATTTAGTTAATTTGTTGCCAAAATTCTTGTCAAGAAAAGAATTCCTTTTGTATCTTGAAACATTTGTTTCTTAAGCTTTTTGTTTGTGTCCTCCTTCCTCAGTAAGTAGGACAAGCTCAAAGGTTTGAGCTGCACAGGATTTGACAATACAAAGAATCCTTCCAACTTTAAACAGCTCATGGAGCTGAACCTGTCCTTCACCCTTCGATGATGCTGAAGTACACCCAGCTCTATTCAGTGTTGCTCCAAACAAGATCCTAAAAATACACAACTCTTCATCTTAGTCTAACCTTAAGGAACTCAACATCAGTTTTGTACTATTACAAACAGGATGAGATTAAAATGTGTGCTCAAGTGAGTCCTTCCTCTAGCGAAACTTCCAGTTACAGAAAGAGGCTGAAAAGCTGCTTGAATTAGTTTGACAGAGTTTACAGATATGTAACATAAAACTATGTAAGCAGCTTTGAAACAGAACCAAAATTCAGATTTTTTCCCCCTCCCAATCAAATGTTTTAAGCCAAGTGACAATCTCCCTTGCTTTCTTTCTTGCGATGTCTTACGGAAAGCGAAGGAAATTTAACAGGAAGGGAGGAGACAAGTGTCAACAGCCTCAAACTTGTAGCCTTGTGGCCATGATGCTGTTTTGGGAGGTGAAAAATGTCAGGTTTCAAGGTTTCCAGATGAGAGATGGAAGGCAATTGCTCTCTCTTTCACAGCAACAATGGCAGCTCCATTTCCCAAAGTGTCTCACAAGTACAAAATGCACTCCACTGTTCTTCAGTGGAGCAGTGCTTTAGTCCAAATCAGTTTTTACACCTGTAAATTCAATGTGGAAGGCACACACTGCCTGATAGTTACATGCATGAACAGGGAAGTTACAAGACGTGGGGTAATGGTTCTAAACTATCAGAGGGCAGATTTGCAGTAGATATAAAGGAGAATTTTTTTCACAATGAGGCACAGGCTGCCCAGAGAAGCTGTGGCTGCTCTATCCATGAAAACATTCAAGGGCAGCTTGGACAGGGCCCTGAGCAACCTGATCTAGATAAACATGTCCTTGTTCATTGCACAGATGACCTTTAAAGGTCTCTTCCCACCCAAACTGTCCTGATTCTGCAATAAGCCACCAGGCTCAGTGAGTGATCCCTGGGCTGCAGGTGGCTGCAGGTCTTGAGCACAGCTGAACTCTCAGACTCAAGGAGCTGTGCATCCCTGCCAGGCTCAGGAGAGCTCCGTGCTGCAACGCTGGACCTGCCCAGCCTGCTGCCATCTCCAGATCCAGCCCGTGCTCCTTGCAGCCTGGAAGAGAGTCCAAAGGCAAATGCTGGAATGTGCGGCACGGGGATTTTAAATGAGAGGTAGAAACCATGTGACAGGCAAAAAATCCACACTGACAGCAAACAAACATAAAAATGACGAGTGCAGTGGCAGGTTCCTGGTGCCAACACCCTGTATTAAGGAAATTCCCTCTTTGGTTGCTCACACCACATTCCAGTCCTTCTCTTTTCCTCTAAGACTTAGAGCCAAACCCTTGCCATTCAGTAGAAGATACGTTATCCCAACTAAATGGACTAACTAACACTGACACAAGAAGACACATTGGCAAATTGGGTGTTCAGGATCTTACTACACTGTAGTAAAAATTAGCAGTGAAATGGACTTTTAATCTAAAAGCTTTTGAAATTATGTTTTCAGCTATCACATGCAGTATACAAGAAGGTAAGTGTGTTTTATTAGCATTAAAATGACTGGACTGCATTCAGTTCTTATTTGTCTTGGTGTAAATTTGGAACAACTCCACAGGCTTGAACTGAAACAGATGATTTACACTGAGCTGAAACCCAGCACGTGTCAATTTTAGGGTTCATTTAGGAACGCAGCTGGATAACAGAGTCTGGGAACTTTGAGTGGAGTTGAACACAAACCATTTCACAAGTTCCTCAAATGAACCTGAACAACTATCAGCATTTTCAAATAACTTTTACTGCCACTGCCTTTTGATTTTGAACACAAACCAGCCTTTTTCTCCTTCCTTATTCAATCACACATGGCAGCAGATTAAAATACTTTCCTGGTTGATTGTATTATGCTTTGCATCTGGGAATTGGGTTTTAATTCTTCCAGATATGTTTGCTATTTGATGTTTCCGAATTAATTGGGTTGTTAAGATAATGAATGAGTCGATGACCAGAACTGCCATGAGACAATCGATCCTTTTTTTTCTGGAAGGCACATTGATATGTGAAGGCACAGGTAATGGTGGTTGGTTTGTTTGCACTTTAGTCTCTAGCAGTCTTACCTGCAATGCTATGGTTAAACTATGCTGGTAGAGAAGCAATTTGAAAATCTGCCCATCTTTACAGTCTTCAAATATTGGTCTGGTTTAAGCTGACACTGAAAAATCTGCTGGAACAGAAACGGGGGTACGTTCACCGGAGCAACATTTTACAGTAATAGAGTTTCTGCTTATTTGCCCGAAGTTACGAAAGGCTGGGCTGGGTTTGGGCTCAGTCCCAGGCCGATGTCCCTGGTGGTGCCATCGCAGTGACCGCACGGGAGCTGCCCCTCGCAGCCCGGCCGGGATGGGCAAAGCGGAGCCCCTTACCTGCGGTGTCGTACAGGTTCAGGGTGACCTCCTTCTTCCCCACCGTCACGCTCGTCGTGTACTTCTCAAAAACAGAGGGCGCGTATTTCTGCAAAGGGAGGAGAACGATCTCGATGATCTCTGAGGCCTTTTCCAACCTTAATGGACTCTGTGGTTGTGAGAAGCGGTGCTGGCGGGGCCCAAGCGCTGGGGCCGGCCCCGGCTGCGGCCCCCAGCCCCGCGGGGGTGGCAGCCCCTCACCTCGGGGAAGGAGCCCTTGGCGTACACCATCAGCAGCGACGTCTTCCCGCAGCCTCCGTCGCCCACGATCACCACCTTCACCTCCTTCCTGCCCGACGGGGCGGCCGCGGGGCCGCGGGGCTCGGGCACGGCCCCGTTGGCCGCTTCCATGGAGCGGGAGCGGAGCGGGCCCGCTGAGGGCGCAGCGCGGCCGGGACGAGGCTCCGCTCCCCTCAGCGCCCGGGGCGGGCAGAACCGCCCGCGCCCCGCCGGGGATTGGCCGGGCCGAGACCGCCGCCGCCTCAGGTGCTGCAGGGCCCCGCCCGGGCCCCCCGGGACAGCGGGGAAGCCTCTCCCGGACCTCATGGCCGGCCCGGGGCCGCCCGCAGGCTCGGGGTCATGGCGGGAAGCGCCCTCAGCGCCGCGTCCCCTCAGAGCCACCGCGGCTGCTCCGCCCGCCCGTCCCGCCGGGCAGCCCTCGAGCCTCTGGGACCACCGGGCCCCGTCCCCCTGCCCTTCCACCCACACACGCCATGCCCGTTTATTTATTTATTCCTGTTCCGTTGGTTCCCACAGGGAGTCCCTCCAATACTGAGGGATCCCGTTCAACGCTGATGTGTGCAGTCCCGAAGGCCGAGCAGCGCCAGGCACGGTGAGGGCAGGCAGAGACCCCGAGGCACCCCCGGAAAGGCGCCTTGGTGCTGCCACTGACACTGACCCACTGCTTGTTTTCCACTGATTTATTGCTTGGGTAAGAACCGACAGCTCTGCTCATCATCTGCTCACCACCCAAGGTGAGCTGCAATGAAAATTGCTGGAATTTCTCATTTTAATTGCAGAGATGTGGTGGCTTCCATGTGGCGGTTTTTCGTGGAACGCAGGGGATCACAACAGCGGGGTATGTTTGGCTCTGGAAGGGGATCACAACTGCTGGATCATGTTTGGCTCCAATGCACAGGTCAGGGGAGGGACACTGAGTTTTGGACAGAGCTGCTCAGGTGCAAATCTACCACGATTCAGCAGAAAAAAAAAGCACATTTCTCTCCTGGCAGGAATTATCAGTGTGCTCTATCTTAAGTAAGTTTGTTTTTAAGAAATAAAAATTACCTCTATTTTTTTTTTTTTTTTAAGTACAACTTGTGGAAATAGCAACAAACCCCTAAGGACATGCTCGTCTGTAGCAAGACCTTTTATTTCAACTAAGAAAAAAAACCCCATACCACTATTCGAGTAGGGCTTTTCATTTTCCCTGCGCAGTTGTGTCACTAGATGGCCTTCCAGACCCAATACAAACACCACTGCACTCGGGCAAGGAGGATCCTGCTTTGTGCACAGGGCAAACAAAAAGCTAGGAAAGGATATTTCTGCAATAGATAAGAAGAAGGACCTTTAATACCCAACAAAGTGTCATATAACTCAAATTATAATAATAAAAAAGCGGTCAAATTCACACCTATTTAAAATTCATCGTTTTACTGAGGAAAAAGTTGATGCAAGCACATAGAAATTGTCAAAAAATGCTTTACGAGGCACAGTCTTATAAATCTTATCTGGAACACAGGAAAAGCCATCAGCTGCTGTCCACTGTAATAGCTGAGAGCATTCCAATGGCACAGGAATGGATGGGCTAGGAAAGAATTTGTTTTATCCTGAAATGATTTATTTGGACCTGGCTCAAACCCAGTATCATGCTATGTATGGTACAATCAGCAGGAAGAGTTAACAGTCTTCCTGTAACTGAAGAATTCAGGGCTTTTTTCAAGTCAATTATTGCCATAAAGGGAAATTTGGGGGGGATAAAAGTATTTTGTAGTTCATTATTAATTTGTGGGGTTTTGCTTTTTCTTTTTGTTTTTGGCTTTTTTTCCAAGTGTCACAAAATAATCTTTACATTTCTCACTGCTTTGTCTCCTTGTACATTTTATACCTAAGGAAACTTTTAGCTTTGTACACCTTTAGATTTGGGATGAAACAACATAAAATAAGCAGATTACAAATATAACTGTAAACACCCCAGACTGCCTTTAAGTAATGGATGTTGTAATGAGTCAGCTTAGTATGGATGAAATACAACATTTCAGTGTCTCAGGTACTTAATTTTGATTAACAACTATGCAGTGCTTCAGGCATATCACTTAGGTTTGGGTAAAAGCTGAGCCTGTTCTGCTGACTCCAAAAAAAAAGCAAAATCTAAAATGGAATTGTTCCACTGATTTAAATGGAAGAAGATTTAACCCTTTATTAGTGAAATGAAAATCTAATCATTACTAATTGCACGTGTCCTTTTCTAGTTCAGTTTTGGCCTGTATATTGATTTTGGCACAAGTTCTTTCATCAAAAGCTTACACATCTGCAGCTCAGGGTTCACTGTGTGTGGGGAGATCCTCAGTGAGCACAACAAACCAGGGCATTAGTGGGGTATAGAAAATATCTGTGCTCCAATCTTGGTGCCAATTTGTTGCTTCATGATCGCCAAGGAAAAAGTTAGGAAGGAGTGAAAAGACAGTGCACACCTTAGGAAAACTGCTGGGAGTTTGTGATTTTTAAAAGATGCTGTAACATTCTGGATGGTATTGATGGGTAATTCAGGTTAGCAATGAAAACACCCCAAAAAAACCTCACAGATTAGGTTCAATATTGTTTGCACACACCATGTGCTGCATATTCATATTGTTAGTTTATTTGAAAACACAAACTGGACAAGAATGGGGACCTGTTCTTCCTAATTGTTTCAGAACTATGATTTTAAATACACTTAATTTTTTTTCTTCATAACACAGACCCCAGTTTACAAAGACTCCAACTTAGCAACAACTAACCCCATTTATGTTCAAGGAAATATTAATAAACTTAGTTAAGAAAGTGTACAACAAGACAGAGCCTTAAATATTTATTTTTTAATATTACCAGTGACATTAATTATTTGTGTTTTCAGCTATGAATTCCCACTACAGCATGTACTGAGCAAGAGGAATGCCTTGAAAAATTCACAATGGGAAAGACAGACCCTAAGGAATGAGATTTACCAAGTAAGTCGAGTGAATCTCTGATAAATTTCAGATGTTGCACAAGGACAACAATTGCTTGTCACGTGCACACAGACTCTTACTGAGGGAGAGCCTCTGCCCCACAGAATTCAGTATGGACAGGGCACAGAAGGAAGGGGGAATTATGATGTGGGTGAGCTGAACTGTCCCTGCACACAGCACAAAATTCTGGAGACAGAATCAGTGTGAGAGGAGAAGCCTATGACAAAGCAACTGTGTATTACTCAAGGTGATTCCTCCTGTTTACAGAACAAATGAACAAAATTGTTTTTCAGTTGTACTTTTGCTCACAGTGCCAACACTGCTCTGACCCTCACTAAACCCTCCACACAAAATCCAAAATCAAAGCTCCCCAGTGTCCTTGACTTTCAGCTGCTTCTCAGTCTCCATTTCTGCAGTGTTTCTCGCTGTTCCTCTCACACATGCAGAGCTCAACCATCTGGTCCTCATGGCCTGATATTTTACACACGTGCCCCCACCCTGAAAAATCCCTTGGGCCACATGATTCACCATCTATTCAAACCTTGCCATGTGCCTGTTTTTTTGTGTAGCAGCTCCTACTGATGTAAATCCCTTGTTCCATAAGGGCTCTCAATTGCCTTTTTCACTGAAGGCAAGGTGGCTGCAACACCTGCCAGTCTCTGAGACGTTTAACCCAACCTAAAACATTATTACACTGTTGTTCGGCTGAGTAGGAGCCATATTTTTTTCCCAGTGGGAAGTACTGCCAGAAAGGCATTAACTTTCTAGACTATTAAGTAATATGGAAAAATTATATTTCAATAAGAAAATTTCCTTTCTGCCTTTTCATGCCTTAGAAATGGTTCCTGTTTCACTTGGCTCAAGTACTCCTGCACTCAATCAGTGCAGAAATCTTTGGATAAACTCTATGTAGAATCAAATGCTACCAGGGAGTTCAGAGGCTTGGGAAAGAAAACAGGACAAGGGTCTGCAAGGGGAGGTATGCAACAAATTAAGACACACAACTCAGCAAAATCAAGCAGAGAATATTTAGGCACTCTGATGTAGTTTGGATAAACTTTATTTATAAACCACATACTCATGACTACGTGGTGAGCAGCTATTTATAGGGAACACAAACTGTTTCTTGGGTTTTTTCTCTGTTATTCTTTAATCAGAGGTGCCACAATATGGCCTACCTGATACACACATGGCCAACATGCTGTCTGTTGAATTTCACCTTTCATTAGAAACTGAGTTCTTGGCTTTGCAGCTGTGGGGGAAAAACCACTCCATTTCACAAACCTGAAGTAAATCAACATGGTAACATCTCATCCTGATACAACTGCTTAGAGGCAGTTTCAAGTTTCTGTTGATCACTAAAGCATGAATTTTCAAGCCAAATTCTGTTGTGAAAAATGGGTAACACAAGGTTAGAATCATCCTATACCTTTCTGGAACATCAAACACAATGAGTGATCTCTGAAAAGCATGAAATGAACAGGGAAGTGTCTGCCAACACCTCCACAGCTCTGCCCCCACGGATCTGGGGATGTGTCTCCCAGATGTGTTGGCATGGCTTCCTCAAGCCACAGGCAGGAATTTGTCACCACAGGCTGGCAGAGCTATCACAGCAATCTCATCCCCTGCCTCTGGGCTGGGAAGGCAATCTGGATGTTTCACAGAGGGAGAGGGATTCAGAACTCCTCGTTTCAGGTGTGATCTGCAGTTGTGTTTGCCTTGGGAGCTGGGCTTGGTTTTGCCATGGGAACAGGCAGAAACACCAGGTTCAGGAGTGAGGCACAGCCTTGCTCGTGGCTGACAGAGATCAGGGCTCTGCTACAGATCTGTATTAAATTAGTCACCATCAGATGCTCTTCTGCATCCAGATCTGCAGCAGAGAACACATCCCATCAGGAAGTAATTTGGGGAAATTTAGGGAAAAGGGCTACAAATAGCTTTGCTTGAAACACAATGAGTTCTTAGCCAGTATCCAACCAATCCCTTTAGTATAACCTCTAAAATCCCTCTGGCTTAGGCCTTCCTGTGTTTTCATTACCCAGCACTCCACCTAACTCAGCAAGAATGAAGATTTTTTTTTTCAAAATTGGAGTGCTCTCTGCATTATCTGTTTCCTTCAGATCACTTTTCCCTTCTCTCGTTCCCAAATTATGTAATTCCTTGTGGATAGAGATATTTCCTTTTAATGTACTTGCTGGTTCAGAAACAAGGGAAGACTGAACCCAAGAGGAGTGTGTGTTAATTAAGATGACCACATCACCAGGGCAGGAGTTACATTCAGCTGCTTTAGCTTACACAGGAGGGATTAATATGGAGTGGGTGAGTCAACGGTGGATTGCCAAATCTGGGTTACACTCCCCAAAATTCTATTGGAAGATCCTCTAAATCTGAAATATGCAGAGTTGTACTTTCTTTGTGTGGCTGTAGAGACCATCAAGTTTAAGTGAACCCAGGTTTGGCTTCCTAAATATGCTTTTCACTACGTGGGCTACAGTGCAGCCTGAACAAGTGTGTGTTTTACAGAATCATGAGTCAGGCTTTGATCAACACCTCATTCCTGCACTCCTGCACCTGGCCCAGGCAGGAAGCTCCCAAACCTTTTGGACAAGGATGTGAGGAAACTGGGAATATACATAGGGGGAGAATAAAAGATGGTGAAGTAGGCTATAAGAGAATGGACTATGGATGAAACAGGAACATGTTTTTTCTGAGTCATGCATAGCATTGGCATTATAGGGCAGTTAACATGAAATTTGCCTCCTACCCTCTGATATCTGTGCAAACTTCCCACAGGAAGGCAGCAATGGCAGACTGAAGAGATGATAAAATCCTCTGTTTATATGGGGACACCACAATTTCTGCCTGTTTTTTGTGGAGTGCTGGATGTATGGATAGAGCTAAGTGGGAAGTGCTTGTTGGAAGTTGTCTGGCTGGCAAAATGCTCATTTATAGAGGTGGGGGTTTGGCAGGAGCCAGAGAAGCCTGTGGCTTGTCAGAGCATGGCCAGGCAAAGCACAGGCCCAGACTGAATTTCTCTCAGACCTGAGAGTAATCATAACCTGGCCAGAGCAAACCTTGACAGGAACAGCGATGCTCAGAGCAGGTTAATTAATAACTTGAGGCGCTGGAAATAAAACCAGGTTGTAATTGAGTGATGTTTGCTTTAGAGATGTGATTCTTGGCCTGTGCCTGGTTTGTGGGAGCTGGTTGGGCTGACAGTGCAGAGTGGCCTGGCTGGATGTCCTCGCTGAGAGTCACCAGAAGGGTCAGGAAGGTGTTCAAGCAGTGGTGTGGGGTGGTGAGGGCAGGCACAGAGAGCAGCGAGCTGACAATGCTGTGTCTGGCACGCTGCCCTGCCCTGCTCCACACCTCTGTCCTTGATGGCAGATTTCCTGTGCATTTCACCCTTCCTACACACATCTCACCCTTCCTGAATCTCCTCGTAACAACAGGCACGTTGTCAAGTTCCTCATTGCTTACTGGGATTAACACAGTAGCTCTGATTTCTTAAGGTGGGGAGATTTCCATGTTAAAACACTTCTAATTAAACTTACATCTCTCATAAGGCTAAAAATGCCCCCGTATGAATGGCAGCTGGATCTGCTTGTAAAATGTCAGTGCCCCAAGACTTTTAATGGTCTTGGGAGTCTAACAATTGTAGACAGTCCCTGTTCAAAGATAAGGGCTCCAGGAAAATGGAAGAAGGAAGCAAATAGAGTACCCCACGAATCAGATATCTTAGATAAAAATTTTCTAAGTACAGAACACATCTGGCTGTGTATTTGTCAAGTACTTTATTGGCTTGAACTACAAACACAGCACCCACAGCAAATAATTCAAATAATTTCCACTTTAGGTTTGAGTAGGCACCTCCATTTTCCCTTTAGGACTCAGTTTTGGACCTGGGGAAAAGTGTTCTCAGTCGAAAGGCCTCCAAGCAAGCCTGGACTGGTCACAGCAGAGCAACAGCTGCACGAGCTTAAATTCCTCTCCCCACCCTGCTGTACAAGCCGTGCCCCTCAGTCCTGTGCCTGGAGGAGAGGAATGTCCAGCTTTCCTGCTTCCCTGCCAGCTCCACTGGCATTTCCTATTCCACAGCCAATTGCATGTTAGGGGCCAACACCATGAAGTGCTTTTTCATGTGGGCAGTTGTGGTGAACTAAGGATCCCTTTTGGTCAGAACCCCCTGCAGATGTTCGTGACACTTTTTTCACTCCTTTTTATGCAGCACGTCAGGCGCTTGTGATAATTTACTGCCACAGGAACCACTTCCTGCACACTGCTAACTGCGAGTCCTTCCAGACTGCTGGCAGGCACTGCCCAGGGAAAGACAATGTGCAGGGGAAGGTGTCAGGAAGCAAAGAGAGCCCTGTCCTGCAACAGCAGCTCACAGGCTGTGTGGGTTTACTGTAAACTAACTTCAGTTAGAAACTAGCAATGGCCTGCCCTCTTGAAGGTTAAAACAACTAAAATATCTGGAAAAAAGTATTTTAATTTAAAACTTACCTAGAAATGAAAAAAAGCTAAAGCAAGTTCAAAAATAACTCAGAAAATAGATGAAGATAAGAACAGAGCTTGTAGGAGTCAAGTCTGAACAAAAGGCATGGACTATGAAAGGAGAAAGCCACAAATGGCAGGGGTTGAAATTTAAAACCTACGGTTCACTGTGGAACATGAACGATGCTGTTGTATTCCACACCTCCTCTTCCTGGGTGTAGCTGTCTCCACAAGGTGAAGGGCAGTAATGAATCAAGCTCCTTCCCTCTTCCTGTATTTTCTATTCAATTATTCGCAGGCTGTGCAAGTTCTGCATTATTTCCCCTCTCCATATGCCACACTCTCCTCCTGCCTTTTTTTTTAATTCTGAGCCGTGCCTTTGGCCTCTCTCCCATTCCTTTCTCCTCGGTGTGTGCCCCCTGCTCTGCCAAGATCTGCTGTCTTTGTAGCCTCTGCTGTGCACATATGCTGGCTCTTCCCTCCCCTCCTGCCACCCCCTGCTCCACCGAGTGTCCCTTCTCCTCTCTCCAGCGTTTGTGCCAGCAGCTCTGTGAGCCAGCCAGGAATGGAATGATTTTGCCATGGCCACTGCTCCCGTTTCCATGCTGCAGCGACCAAGGGGAAGCCGTGCTGCTCCCCTCGTACAGCACGGGCAGAGACAGCCCTGCAGCTGCTTAGCAATTGGGAGCCACGGACAGCACGGCCTTCACCGACCTGGTGCCTTTGGGCCACTCGGCTGCAACCCAGGGCTCGGGGGACCAGCTGGGGCACTCCCCTACTGTCCTGTCAAACAATAAATCAAGATGCAAATCCTTAACTGCAGGATTGAGAGCGGTGGTGGCAATGTCAAGGGCAAAACAAAGTCCTGGTCTCGTGTCACATCACACCAGTGGGAAGACACCGCTCTGATTTGTAAGCTTTTGATCTTTGTCATCAGTTTCTGGCTGCAACGTTTTATACTCCATCACTTGTAATCAGAATGTTCCTTGTATGTGCTGCCTATGTTAAAATGGCTCCCAGGTCCCCAGCTACCATCAGATCCACACTGTTTAATGAAGTGTCCAGAGACACAAGTAATTTAATGCATAAATATCCTTTTAGATTACTTATTTGTATCTTCATTTCCTTTTGATGCAAGCTTTGTAAGTGCCCAGCGTCTTTAAATGGTACATTCTTTTCATTCTTTCTCTTTCATTTTTGTGAAACTGTACTGTTCAGGGGCCATGAAGCACTGAACTCTTTTGTAATTCAATGGCTTTAGAATGCTGATTAGAATTGCCAGTCGTCTTGATTTATTTCATGATTTTTATAAGCTTGAAGGCATTCTAAAAAATAACCACTTCTACATCCTGATAGGATCACAGCATTTCGATGGCAGCTGCATTTCAATAGGCAAGAAGCAACACAAAACATTCTGCAAGTCAGGTGTTGAAACAGCTTCTTTATTCCTTTATAGCTCAAGAAAGATTAGATCTCTGAAAGCACTCACTCCCTACTTTACAGGGGTGGCTTTGTCATAATACTTTCAGAAATAATATGATCACATACAGTTTAAAAAGTAACAAAAAACCCCCAAACCCTCGGCTCTGGCAAATAGCCAACATATCCATCAAAATTTGTCTGGATCTTAAATACAGTAAATGTTTGTTCCACTGTTGGGTGTCACCATGCATCTCTGCACCCTGGCAGCCAAACAACTTAGCCTAGTGATTCCCTGTCATTGTTCAAGGCTCACATCCCATGCATCCTCAGAGCATGCTGGGACACAGGTGAAATCTGTCAGCAGGTTGGTTATTTTGGCTGACAATTCCCTAGACTGATCATCTGCTGCTCTTAGGAAAGAATGAAAAATTTTATGGCAAGAAAATCTGAACAGGCAAATACCCTGTCCATATTCCTACTAAATACTCCTTTGATATTCTTAGCCTGGTTTCCTAAAAATAAAACTGTCTAATATGACTGTGCTGTTCTATGTAATTTTCTTCCCTTTTTTCCTCCAACCTCAATCAAATATGGCAGGGGGAAAGAAGTCCCTAATGTATTTAGGTCTTGAATGAACAGCTGGATACAGAGTATGTAGTGAGGCATCACGTCTAAAAAAAACCCATCTAACAGGAAGGTCTCAAAATGTACTTTGTAACCATCCTGCCTCGGACCTCTCATCTTTCTTTTATGGGTCCTGCAACCACCTGTTTGGTGCTCTGCATTATTTAATGGCTACATAATAGAGCCAGGGCAGGCAAGTGTTGCAGTGTGCCCCTGGCTCCCTTCCAGCTCCTAAACTGGGCTTTCTTCCCATGCAACCGGGGTGTGGCAAGGGATGGTGTGGAACCAGACCTCCTCCTGACACAATATTAACACTGCTGAGGTGTGTGCACACACACCCGGAACAAGGAAACACCCACAGAGCAGATAGCTTGTTCATCTGGAAGAAAACATAAAATCATAACCCACCAAGTTTGTAGGTGACACTAAGCAGTATCAGGAAGGAGTGTCAAATAAAAATAGTAATTAAAAAAGGTCATTGCAAGCAACAACGCTGAGTTTTCAAGAGGACCAGAGTAAAGCCACACAAAACAAAGAGCACAATCCTACAGTACAGGGTTGTCATCCTGAGAAGGAGCAGATCCGAGAGTATTTCAGCAGCCCTGCTGGGAAATCAGCTGAAAATGAGCTGGGGTAAATCCCTGGATGCCCGACAGACACATCTGAGCCAGGAGGGCTCTTGGCTCTGGCATGGTCACTGCCGATGGCTCTGTCCCCTTCTGCCCAGATCAAAATGGTGACAAACTGGAGCAGGAACAATTACAGGATTAGTAAAGATGGACCCGAGGGGGAGCTCTGCAGCCTGCAATGGAGTGTTTAAATGCTCAGCTTGCACACAGCTATGAGGGGATGGAAATCTGGTCATGGAGCATTCCTCTGCCAAGGAGACTGAGGGACAGACACATCCAGAAACTGAAAGCAGAAACTAGACAAGTTTAAAAAGGTACTTTGATTTCTAGTCTGTCAGGTAGATTTTTGATGGAAACAATTTACCCTTATTTTACTCCCTTTCACAGCCTGCTTGAAAATGAAAATCTGATCTTTATCTAAGATGCAGCTATGCTGCAGTTAAATTTTTTCAAAGGAGAAAAAGAAAAAAATTCACAAAAATCCAGAGACCTACATAATGCAGGAAGCTGAACCAGATGAACCTTGGCCTCTTTTGTCTTTTATAATCTATTAATCTAGTTGCCTTGCACAAGCAGTGGATTGTGACTTGAAAACCTTCGATATAAAGGATACTGTGTACAAGGCAGTCTAAAACAAAATGTTGCAAACAGACAGGATCATTGTTTGGCCGAACAGCTGCCTATTTTTTATTTCACTTTGCCTCTCAATCTAATTTGCTCTTGTTGCAACACTTTCCCAAAGAAATTAAATCACTTCTTATTGATAACAGACAGTGATATAATTAGCATAAGAGTTTTCCACTCAACAATGCCAGGCAGGGACGCTGTGGGCAAGAACAAACTCCTTTGCTTCAAGAATGTGCACGGAGCCACCACAAGCTGTTCAGAGAAAAAAAAAAAAAATCTTTTTTTTTTTTTCTCCCCCTCTCCCTTTTCCCTGAAAGATCTCTTTATCTAAAGAGTCTCACGCAGCAAACCAGGGTCAATCTAACTCAAGTATGAAAGTCTGGTTTGACCTTTCTGGGATTTAAACACACTGTACCAGAACATTTCGCTTTTCAGATCCGAGGTTCAGCCATGAAACCACCCACTCTGAGAGCACAACTGGTCTCAACTGCCTTGGCGACTTTTAAACTATATTGAACATTATAGTAATTTAGAAACTCTAAAAAACGGAAAGAAATTTTCGGCTCAGACTTACAAAAACAACTTCCAGAAGTGCTGAGGACCCACACAACTCACTGGGGCGGCACGGCAGGCTCGCTGTCCAGCGCCTGCTGCCCCAGCAATTTCTGGCCCTGGTTTGCACGTACGCAGCGCCAGGCACACGCGTTAGGACCTCTCCCAGCTGGAGCACTTCATGGATTCTACCACCGGGAACAGCCGTCCTGGACAATGATTAATCGCAGACAAAGATCAGAGTCCTGGAAAAATATGCAGAGAGATGCAAGTACAGACAAAGCTGTCTAAGCTCCCACAGTATTATGGTCTGGCTGTGTTGCTTCAAAGCTGCGTTAGGCAGAGCTGGTTTGCTTCAGGGTTGAACAGATCAACGTTACTGTTTAAATGCTGGTATTGCTAACAGCCAAATATATATTTGAACATAAATCTTAAATCCCAGGAAAGTTAATAGCCCGATGCTGTTTAAATATGCCTTTTTTAGTCGCTTCACGTGCTGACTTTAACTCATTACGATGCAAGCTGCAGAAACGTTTTCACTACAGTTCAAAAACCCCTGCAAACACGAACCCAGCTTTGCGCCGTACTTTGATCTACACGTCGCCTCTTTCGGCCATTTCCAGGAAGCTGAAATGCTTTTCACCTCTATTGAGAGATACCAGAGGAGCATTTTAATGGTGTTCAGCTAAGAACAACGTCAGCGTTCCTTCCGATTTTGCCAGCAGACGGTCCCTGGGAGCCGCCGTGCCCCGGGCCGGGTGCTCAGCGCTGGCTCCAGAGCGGGCCCGGCGCTCCCGGCCGGGCAGGGACCGAGCGGCGGCTGGGGCGGCCCCGGCTCCGAGCGCCGCAGCCCCCGACAGCGCTACAACACCAGCCAGCCTGGCACTGCGGAAGCGCTTTGGTTTTGTTGTTGGTTTGTTTGGTTTTCTCCCCTTCCATGGGAACGTGTTCTGTTTTGTGCGGACGGTTTGTCGCTTGTTCTCGACATAGAGCCTGACCCGGTGAGGAGCGAGGGGGGGAGCGAGGAATGCAGCGATGAGCGCAGTTGTTGCGAAAGGCGCGGGCTGAGGTGCCTCCTTCGCGGCAGCACCCTGCTCCCTCGCAGGGAAACAGCCCTGAGCCTCGGCACATACCACAGCACAGGTTGTACAAACCCACGGAGCGGCTGGTGCTGAGCCGCAGGAACTGCGGGCAGGGCGCACCCTGCCCGGCACATGCCGCTCCCGCAGACAGCCTCTGCCAAGCAGCCACTTACCTTCTCCCTCCCTCAGAGTCCGCAGGACGGTCCTGCTCTAGCCTTACCAGGGAGGCCACCTCTCTACAGTGTTTGATTTTCCTCCCTGTCCTGCCCTCTGAAGTGGTTGCTCAAGCCAGGCTTTCCTGGCTCACCTATTCTGGGTCTGCAGTGAGCACAAGCTGCAATTCCCCGCAGAGCACAGCGAGGCTTGTTCCGAGATAACCCTCAGCCTCCACCCAAAGCGAGCTGCAGTAGAATCTGCTCGGGGGGAAAAAAAATCCCACCAAAAAAAAAAAATCACCAACAAACCACAAGGAGGAAAAAAAAAAAAAAAAAAAAAAAAAAAAAGACGAGGAAAAAAAAATACGCCACAACGCCACATGTAACACTTCATCGGGCCATGGCGGCTCCACTGCAGCGCGGCACCGGCTCCGCGCCAGCCCTGCCCGTGCGGGCCCGGGGAGCTCGGCGCTGCAGGCCGGAGGAGGCAGGGCAGCGCTGCCCCGGCTGGGTGATGGCGGAGGGGGGAACAGCCCAGGAGAGGCAGAGAAGGAAAACAACAAAGAGCCATGTGACGGGGAGCGGCGGCCGCGCTCCCCCCGGCGCACCCGCTCCGGGCGGGGAGGTGGCGGCGCCGCCCGGCCCCTCCCGCGGCCAGCGCTGCTGGTTCCCCCCGTCCCCCACAACACTGCCCGGCCTTTAATTTTTTAGTGCATTTTATTTTTTTCCCCTTGTGTGTATGTGGGGAGAAGGGGGGTGGTGTTGTTTGTTCCTCTTTCCCCCCCTCCTCGCATTAGGCGACTTCCATGGCTGGGTGTTTATAAGGAGAGCGGCGGGGGAAGGGCGGTGTTATTTATAGCAGCCGGGGCTGCGCCGGCATTATCCGAGCTGCCTTTGTCCTCCCGGCCGGCCGCCCCCCCGCCCGGCCCGGCTGGAGCGCCGCCAGCCCCGCTGCCGCAGGGCGCTCCCGCCATGTTGTGCGCGGGGAGAAAGAGCTGCTCCCTGCCCGGCTTCGCCCTTCCACAGCCCCTCACAAAGCGCTGGGGGAAGGGGGGCGGGAAAGAGGGGAGAGAAAGGAGGAAAAAAAAAAAACAAAACCAAAACCCAAAAAAACTAAACCACCCCAAACCCACCATTTCCCTGCAGCGCCTGGGACGCGGAGCGCCGGGAGGCAGCGGGGGGAGAGCCCGCCGCGCCACCGCCCAGCGCTGAGGAGAACGCGGCGCCGAAGGGAAGGAGAAGCCATGATGGCGGCTGCCCTCACACAACACGGAGCGCGACCGGGAGCGCCGTGCCCGCCCCTCCCGCCGCCCGGGACACGGTGCTGCCGCAGCCTTTCACATAATAAACCCACCAGAATTCGGCGGGGAGGCCATTTTCGTGGGCTGGGTGGCGGCACTAAAGCACAACTGCTGTGAATATCAACTGCGTCACGGCTCTCCATCTGTAACACTCAGGCTGCAAAGGGTCCCTCACTTGGAAGGAAACTCCCTCATTTTGGATATACTTCCAGACCTCCTTTTTCCCCCCTCTCTCCAAGTCATTGCCTCTCGGTATGAAGGATTTTACAGTGCTTTCTAGGGAGACATCCGCCATTAAGACTCACCGTCGTGAAAAACACCCCCCCATTTTGTTGCCTGTTTTTTGTCGAGCTTCTGTAATTAGACGGATAAAACATGTAAGGGATCCCTACCACCACCACCGCCTTCTCGCCTTTTTTAACATCAACCTCACTAACATCTTACTGTTCACAGGCAGATTTTTTTTTTTTTGGGTGCTTTCAATTTAACAGCCACGTAATGCCTGCAATGGATTCACAGCGTCTCTCCGCACAAAAAAAACCCAAACCCACCCAGGGCTGAGGACGACCAAGAGCTTTGTGCAGAAAGAGAAATCAAATTCCTCCCTGAAAACAGACGTTTCAGAGGCACTGTTAGATGTTTCTGAGGAGAAGGAGATCGCCACCGCTTTCAGACGACCATTGGGATCTTTCCACCCAGGACAATACCATTAGCTACAGGCCTGGGCTATTTGTTCCTCTGCAAGGGCAAAAGGGTTTACTTACCCGCACACCATAGTTGAATGCAGCTCTGAAGGTGAAGTTGTTACTCTTTTTTAAAATAATGGCTATAAATATATATATGATCTGTATCACCACTTCTCTCGTAAGTTTGCGAGCCAAAGCGGATCTTGTTAATATAAGTTACGGATCTTTGTATGGCAGTGGTCTAGCATCAAAAAAAGAGGAAAAAAAGGGGGAAAAAAAGCTATAGAAAAAGTCCAGCTATGTTGACTGACCGTACACAGGCGAGGACTCCTGCTCGAGGCTTAAATCTACCTTCCTGTGGCAGATTTACTCTGTACATAAAAAGGACGTTCAGTGTTTTTCCACAGAGCACGCAGACACTAAAAATATTCTCCTCAATAGTTTTAGGCTGCACATGTCAGTGTGAAAACACCTAGTTAACATTTACTGGTTCTAAACAACTGTTAAGCATATCTTAGCCAGATAGTTTGCTTTATAAGTAAAATATTTCAAAAAGCATAAATTTGTTTAAACAGACAAAAACATAAGACATGCAAATGAAGGCTTAGCAATAAGGACCACTTCAGTAACATTAACATGAAAACTACACTTAGCAAGGACAGAATGGATTGGGTACTTACAATGTAAGAGGAAAGAAAGAGAAAAAGCTTATCATAGTAAAATTGCCTTATTTTTTTTTTGCCAGAATTCACTATTCCTATACCTATATTTAAAACATTACCTTTTAAGCACCAGAGGAGTTAATAAAAATGGCCAGGAATCAAGTGTTTAATACGGGAGAGAAGTCTCTCAAATTTATTGTTCAGTCATCAGAGCTGCTTAAAGCTTAAAAACCCCCAAAACAACAAAAAAATATATAAAAAGAATGTATTTACTCTTTTTTTGTTGGCATTCGAAATTGTTAACTGCTGACATAGGGTGTGCCATGACCTAGTTACACAAGACAAAGATGGATCCCGAATCATAAGGGAGAAAAAAAAATCCGCATTACTTTTTTTTTTTTTTTTTGGTTAAGGGGTTAAGATAGATATATATATATTGAAATCCTTCTTCAGTGAGTTGTCTGGCACCGTGCTAGAGGCTCCCACCACCCCGCGTGGTGTGGATTCACATGGCGGATCCCCCTTTATGGAACAAAGGAAAAGCCCAGTTGGCCATTTCGCTCCACTGCAGAAAAATGGCTGCGGGTCCCGCGGCCTCTCCTTGGCTTCTGCCGCGCGGCGCTTTTACCCCGCCGTCTAATAACTCAAGCCCCATGGAAGCCGCGCTCCCATTGGCTGCGCCCGCCGCGCTGCCGCCGCCCCAGCCAATGGCGTGGCCACTCCCGGGGCCACCGCGGCCCCGCGCCCCGGGACGGCCGCGCCATGCGCCCGCCGCTGCTCCGCCCGGCCCCGCGCCCGCCGAGCGCCGGGGGCACCGCGCCGCCCGCCTTTAATACCGAAAACAAAATGGAACCTCCCCGCTGATTGGCTGATGAAGGCTCCGGACCTTTAATAAGCAAAGCTGCTCCCCCATCTTCTATCACCCCCTCCTCTGCGTGTGTCGCCACCCCCCCCCCTCCACCAGCTTCCCCCCCCCGCGCTCTCCGCCGCAGCAGCGCGGCGGGTCCGCGCTCCACCCGCCCCCGCGGTCGCCCGGGCTCGCCGAAGTCTTTCCCTAAAAAAAGATTAAGAGAGAGGGGAAAAAAAAAACCGAGAAAAAAAAAAAAAACCCAACTTGTCCCACCTATAGGTCCATCTTGTTTAGAAACAGTTTGCGCTAAGGTAAATGCAGCGGGCAGATTCCACTCGCCCCCCCGCATGCCGTTAACCCCGCGGCGGGGAGGGAAAAAAAACCCGCGCGTCCCGGCGGCGGCCCATGCGGCGGCGCTCGGCGGCGGCGGGGCGGCGGCGGGCGGCCGCGGGCCGGGGGCTGCGCGGCGCGGCCGCCGTGAATGTGCAGGCGGCGGAGCGCGGTTAGGCGTTCGCGGCGCTCGCAGCGGTGTATTGTGGGATCCCGGCCGCCGCCAGCAGCGAGCACACACAATATGTGGTGGCTCGCGAAAACGGGAGGCAGGAGCCTGGCGGGCAGCCCGCGCCGGTAACCGGCCCCATGTGAGACGGGAGCTCGCCTTTCGCCGCCCGGAGACGATCGGCCGCCCAGCGCGATGTCTTTCCGAGAGACCAAGGCGGGGGAAAAAGCCAAGCACCCTGAAGATCATGGCAAAAAGCAGAGTTCAAGTGAGATTGGATTTTTTTTTTCTTCTTCTTCTTTTTTTTTTTTTCTCCTCCTTTCCTCCTCCTCCCTCTCTGCCTCTTGTCTGCTTGGGGTGGAGGGGGGGACCCGGTTGGCAATTCCCCCATTTTGGGGCTCGCTTCGCGGTGGATTTCCTCCCTGCCTGGGTGTGTAGAGCTGGCGGCTCGTTAAAAAAAAAAAAAAAAAACACACCGAGACGAAGAGGTCTTTGTTGACTATTTTTTTTAACTTTATGGT